GGTCATAAAAGACCAGAAGACTTGGAAAAAGGGATCTGATGCGGGTAAAAACATCAAACTTACTAAAGGTTGGCTTAGAAAAAATGATTTGGTTACAACAAGAGCGGACAAAAGCAAAGCTTTGGTAATTATGAAAAGACAGACATATAATAACGCGATGGAGGAATACATTAAAAAAACCGAATGCGAGAGTGTTGAAGCAAATGTTATTGAAAGCATCGACAGAAGGGTTAGGAAGCTTGAAAAGGCTAAGCTGAGTAATGCATTACCTTTTCTCAAAAATTGTCGAAATCCCAGTCCAGGTATGCCAAGATTGTTTGCTTTTGCTAAGACCCATAAAGAGGGTAAAGAAATGAGACCTGTAGTGGAAAGGTGCAGAGGACCAACGTTTATTCTTGAAAAGAGATTACATAAGTTTCTCACCTCGCACCTCGAGAATAATATACATGTGGCGCATGATCCAAGAGAAGTGGTTAATGAGATACAAGATCTAGTTTTAATGGAGGATGAAATTGGAACAGTGATGGACTATGAAAGTTTATACCCATCTATAAAAATTGAATCATGCAGAGTAGTACAAAAGTAGCCGAAAAGTAGCCAACTGCTCGAGCAGTTGGCTACTTTTGGGCTACTTTTTAAAAATTATTTGGCTACAAGGGCAAAAAACATCTGGCAACGCTGTTGTAATATTCGGGGATCCTGATTAGTCGATTGACAAAGGGACGAAAATGGGGCCATGCCCGAGGGTAGGGTGAGACACGTGGTGCGAGAAGAAAAAACACTTTTCGGTTCGCCACCAAGGAGAAAGGTCAAGCAAGAGTGACGGAGGACCGTTCGTTAGCCTTAAGGAAAAGAGAGAACAAGCGAAGGGAGATCAAGTAGGAACGGAGACAAGAATTAATTGGGATAGCTGTTCCAGAGAGATACAAGAAACGTGTTCGATAATAATTATATTGAAAAAACCCCGATGCTAACGGATTTTAAATTCGCTGTGCACGAAGTGACCAACGTCGTTATCTACCTAAGCATTCACCGATTCACTACTGGTAAGTACTCACCGACTCACTACTGGTAGACTTTTCTAGTCATTCCTTATCCTTCTTTCTCTCTCTGTTAGTAATAGTATTAGGTTTAATTTTAGTTGTAATTATTATAGTTTAAACGGGTTACTCATATTCTAATTTGTCGCGAGAAGGTTGAACGAGAGATGAGACTCTAATTCTATATAAGTTTATATAATTGGTTCAGTGACGGGCATTCAGACCTCTGTCTATTTATTCAACTAATAAAGTGATTAATCTTTATCTGCTGGTCGTCCATACTTTCACAGTATAAAATTGCAATAATTACTATATCTGTAGAAACGTGCTGTGAAGACGTAATAATTCCAAAATACATAAAACGCAAAAAGCTGTGTTCGAAATTTATAGTATTCGATTTTCGCCTGAGGATGCAGCTGTAAGCTTTTGAAAGTACTTGCGAGTACATGTGAATTTTTACAAATCACTGCTTGTAACGCCGCAACACCGTTGTGTTAATTATATATTACTCTACGTTGGCGTGAAGTGTAAGTTTATTTATGTTTAAAAAGGAATAAAGTAATAAAAATATTTAAAAAATAGTTTATTTATTTTACTTATTATTTTTTTTAATTTTTTAGAAAATTAAACAGTACATTAAACCATGTCTGAAAAACGTAAATGTCGCCAATATTCCATTGAATATTTAAAATTTGGTTTTATTGCTTCGCCAAGTAATGAGCAGTTACCAATGTGTCTTGAATGTCATCAAGTTTTTTCAAATGAGGGAATGAAGCCTTCAAGAATGAAAGAACATTTATCAAGAAAACATCCCGATAAGAAGTACAAAGATTTTGATTATTTTCTTAATTTAAAAAAAAAGTTAGAAAATCGTAAAACAGTTGTGAATTTATTTAAGGATTCGGCAATTCAACTTAACAAGGGTCTTGTGACTTCATACAAAATTTCATTGTTAATAGCAAAATGTGGCAAGCCTCATAATATCGGGGAAAAATTAATAATTCCAGCTGTTCAAGAAATTTTAAGCAATATGACTACATTAAATCCAAACAGTATAATTTCTTCCATTCCTTTAAGCAACGATACTGTTTCCAGACGAATTGATGAGATGGCTAATGACGTTGAAGAACAGCTTTGTGAAGATCTTCAAAACACAGAATTTACGTTACAATTGGATGAAAGTATAGTTCGCAATAATGAAGCAATATTACTGGCGTATGTGCGATACATTAAAAATGACAAAATCATTGAGGAAATGTTATTTGCAAAATCTTTAACTACTGATACTAAAGGTTTGTCTATTTTTAATGTTGTGAAAACATTTCTTGATGAGAATAATATACCAATTTCTAACATTCTTGCTTGTGCTACTGATGGAGCTCCAGCAATGATAGGTAGACAGCGTGGATTTATTACCTTATTGAAAGCAGAAAATTCTAAAATTTTCAGTATACATTGCATTTTACATCGACAACACTTAGTAGCCAAACGACTCAGTGATAGGTTGCATCAATCAATGAATTTGGTAATATCTTTAATTAATAAAATCAAAGCACATTCTTTAAATGACTGTTTGTTTCGAGAATTATGTCATGATAACGATGAAGAATATGAACGTTTGTTACTTCATACAGAAGTTAGATGGCTATCTAAGGGTAATTGTCTCAAAAGATTTTTTAATTTGTTCGATACTATCATTGAATTTCTACATACAATTAAATATGAAATCACATTTAATGTTGAAGTATTACGTAATGATGTTGCTTATTTATCAGACATATATGAAAAGTTTAACGAATTTTTGACAAAAATGCAAGGCAACAATATCAATCTCATCAAAGTTAAGAGTTCCGTAACATCCTTCTTAAACAAACTAACTCTCTACAAAAATAATATGGCTCGTAGAGAATTTTCTCTATTTTCTTGTTTAAATACAATAAGTGCAAAAAATATTGGGGATACTGATTTAGAAATATATTGCACACATATTGAAAATATAAAAAATGATATGAATATTCGCTTTAAAGACGTAGAACAGTTAATAATACCAAACTGGGTAATAGATCCTTTTAACTTGGATGTAAATACATTACCTTCCTCAATACAAGAAATTATGATTGATTTGCAAAATGATGTTGAAGCAAAGATTTTGTATACACAAAATAATATTGAATGTTTTTGGGTAAATAATAGACACAAATATAAAAGGCTTTGGAATGAGATTAAGTTATTAATTATGGCATTTCCAACTTCTTATCTTGTAGAAAAAGGATTTAATGCTATTGTACAGTTATTGTCCAAACAAAGAAATCGGTTACAATTAACACAAAAAGGTGATTTGCGATTACTTTTGACAAATTTCGAACCAAAGATAAACAAATTGGCTCAATTTCATTAGCCTCAAGGTTCGCACTAACAATAATTTTTCTGTATACTTAAACATTTTATATTCAATAAAAAGTGTTACATTTTTTTATATTTGTTAAATTTGTTAATACTTATGTTTTTTAACTTTGTTAATTATATTAAAATCTTATACGTATTCTGAATAAATAAATGTTTAATTTTTTACAAATTATATAATTATGAAATAAACTAATAAACCCAACGAAATTTTTTTCGAATTAAAGATGGCGATACTACGTAACGGTTTTATTGAAGGGGGCGATACTACTTAACGGTTTTATTGAAGGGGGCGACGAGTCGTTAGAGGTTGGGAAACACTGATCTAAATTAACAGATAGAAAAAGAAACATTTCAACTTGGGCATATAAAGTGCGAAGAAAACGTAGCCAACGCAATCACGAAACCATTAAAGCGATCGAAGTTTAAAATGCTCGTCAATGGCGATTTTTTTGCATATGTAAATTTGCCGTACCCAACCCATGGTCAAGTTAAGCAGGGAATCTGTCGTGGCTATAATTTGGATATGATGTATATATTTTATTTCGGAAAATTTTAAATCGAATTTACAAGCACAAAAATGAAAGTTCTGATGATAACAGAAATATTTTATAATTAGTAATTTTCTTAAATTGTTTCTAAAACAAGGAAGTTACAAAACAGAATGCCATTGATTATAAATAGCATCCTTGTAATGTCTACAATTCTGTTATATAAGACACAGAGTAGAATGCAATTAAAATAATTAAGATTCTAAGTGTTTAAATGTTTGTTTGTTTAAGTTATGACAACGCATAACTTGGGCGATCAGCTTAGGGGGATGCCTGTCGGAAGGTCTTTAAAAAAAAAAAAAAAAAAAAACTGGTCCCTATGTACGCGTTACAGAAGAGGAGAAAACCCAGAACATTCCACGTGGCCACTATGTCCGAGTAAGGCGCAAACCTACGATCAAACTCCCAGTGTTCAGGGTACAAAGACCGCTTGGCTACTGATGGGCCTCGGTGTTTAGAACAAATGGCATTCTTATACAGAAGATTGTATCATGAAAAGAAAATACCTATCATATCAGACAAGAATGCATACTTATACATAATTAAAGATAATTAATTTTCGATATCCATTACATGAAATATGCCATTAATAACTTACTGCACTTAGAAAATACTTTTTTAAATAAAAAATGTGCGTGTTATTAAAGTTGAGCTTGAGTGGAGTGGAGTAATGAGATAGACAACGCAACAACACACAGAGACCTGTTGAAAGGGAAATGTCTCTCTGGTGGTGACAATGGAAGCAACTGTTCCCTGTTTAGGTGTCAGATAAGTGAAAAAGCCCTATTATCTTTACGTGGTCAGAACTAGCTCAGACACTAACCCGAGAGCAACTCTTAGGGTTCAATAATATCCACTTGGCCACTGTTTGACAGGTTAAGTTTACATTAGATATTTTAAATTTCGAATACCGGAAAATATTATCTCATGGAAATATCTAACGTATTAAAATTTAGTTTGGATTTACGTTCCTGAATTGAAATGTCTTTAAGCATTCAAAAATATCTCATTTATTTATCGATGTCTACAGTTTGATAAATTTTTAAAGCTTCATATTAATTTTCGTAAAATTTATTTTTATTTACAGCAGGATTTCGTTCTCTTTGGTACAGGTAAAAAAGGTCAACAATATTTTATCCGTAGGATATAATGAAATTTCACCACATTACGTTTTCAAATCAGTCTTTTCAGCATTATCTTTCCATAAATATATAATAGTTAAAAATTAGACTGATATTAAACTAAGTTATCAGAATATTATTAAATTAAATGGTGAAATTTAGAAAGTAACATTATCATTGTTTAGCTGATATGTGAAATAAGTGAAATATTTCACTAAATTACGGCTGAACCATAAATTATGGTTTTTTTAGCCATGTTTTCAAAGACTTTGTATGAATTTTTGTTCCAATAATCACCTATAATGAACGGCCATTTCCGACTAGACAATCTTTTCTTCTTTAGAAACCGACACTTAAAGGGTTGACTTTTTGAGTTTGAAAATATTAATTGTGTTAGTGCCCATAAGGTTGAAAGATTAAACAAAGAAAAATAATAAAATATTTATAATTTAAAATTATGGAAAACTCAAGTAATGAGATTAAAATACTTCTTTATTCTTGTTTCTTCTAATTCTATGTCACGACTTGGTGCATTTATCGACACTTGGCAAATAATTCCATCATATACTTTTAATTCATACAGAAACGCGTTTCGGGCTTTCGTCCCTCTTCAGTCTGTTACATCGATAGTATACAGTATCAGTCTGGCACTTTCCGTACTTCCCGCTCCCTTCCCCTCTCATCTTCTCCCGACTTGACGGCCTGAAGAGGGGCGAATGCCCGAAACGAGTTTCTGTATGAATTAAATTTATATGATGGAATTATTTGCCAAGTGTCGATAAATGAACCAAGTCGTGACATAGAATTAGAAGAAACAAGGAAAAGAAGACACGGTTTCGACAAATAACTAAAACTTCTTTATTCGTTAAATGCTGCATCACAAATTTTCGGGTTAAATATATTAACACGTGGTCACCATAAGAATTCATGGGATTTTCGATTTTTTAAATTTTATTCAAATTTTCTTGAATTGTTTCTTATCCTAAATACTTTGGCATTAGTTTCCACGATATTTTCCGATAAATTCGTATGCGGAAATTCGTCCCTAGGTTTCAAATACATTATCCAGTCCTTTGTTATTGGTATAATCGTATGCTGGACTTTTCTGTACTCTTTAATTAAACAAACTCATTTTCATCATCCCAGTTGTAAATCTTGCTATGAAGTGGAAGAAACGTTAATTACCTCCATAGAATTTCAATTTTCACTTTTCTTTGCAGCCTCTGCTTTAATGCAAGTCACATTTTACTTCATGCTTGACTTTTCTCTATATTTTGCCATGGAAAAGGCGACTGTAATGGAATTCCTTCTCTGTAATATCGATTTGACATTATTGTTATTATATTTAGTAGGACAAAATGCTTGCATATTATTCGTTCTTTATTATTATTTACTCGTCTTGTTTAATGGATGTAACACATTGTCGAGCAAACTCTATGTAGTTCCTCGTGAAAAAAGCAACATCAAACGTCTAGTCGTATACATAATAAAAGAACATACAGCATTAATGGAAGACGTTCGAAACGTCAATAACCGGCTCGAAATATATTTTCCTGTTGTTTACTTCTGTAATTTATATGGGTTTTGTATCCTGGTATCCATTACTTTGTTTTACGATTTAAACTGTTTTACAGAGTTTAAACTGGTTGCATTTGCCATGATTATAAATGAAATTTTCGGATTTATCATAATTTCATTCGGTTTATCCAGATTTACATCTTCGGTAAGATTTAGTTAATACTTGTACCATCAAATTTTTATATATTCTATGTTGTTTAGTTTTCATCTTAGCTGTACAGAAATTTCAACGAGATTAATAAAATTTCCTCATGCAGATTCTCTCTGGTTTTTAAATTGAAGGTAAATTAAATGTTCTATTTTTGTGTTATCGATACAATTTATTCTAAAATTATGTTCTTTTTCAAACAGGTGCTGAATTTTATGAAGAGATTCGGAAAAACACCCATTGGAATTTCTATGGGTGGATTTTTTCGAGTCAAACGCAATTTCCCGATTAAAGTATGTTTCGATTAAATAATGCATTTTAATTTATTATTGTGAATTTTATCTTCATTTCTATTTTCCCTTTTAGATGCCAAGTAGTCTTTACTCTATTCTTTCTGCACTCATCGAATTGGGAAAGAAAAATAAAAGTACGAAATGTATTTCATTACGTTCCTTGAATGCAAGTAATATTCAGAACACATCACTGTATTGAGAACGTTTCAACGTGAATACATGAAATCAACTAAGATTCGTTGAATTGAGGAAACGATCTGCAGCTTATCGAGATACTGCTGATTTTTCTATAACTACATACGTGAACGAATATAAAACATTTGTATTAATCATACTGAATAACTAAAAGCGCTTCTTATATGTATGTACACAAAAAACAAAGTACACTTAATGAGTAATGTAAAAAATAATGTTTAATGCTATCTTATTTTTTCAATTTTCCAATCATTAAATTGGGAACATACCCTTACAAAATATTAAAACACTGGCCATACAACAGATCTAATATTTTCTGTATACAGAAAGAACAGCTCTGTTGTATGGTCAGTGTTTTAATAATTTGTTAGGGAAGGTTTACAATTTATCGCGTATGTAGGTGATAAACAGGTGAAAAATAAAAACCGAAAGAATTTGGTGCATACTGTTTGGACAGGCGCAAACTTACCTTCCCACATATTAATAAGCGTTTTGCCTGTATTATTTAATTACAAACATCTACTTAGTTATTTATGATTAATGAACACACTTATGAATGGACACACTTACAATATCAAATGACAACGTTTTTGGAATAAATGGGTTAATGCCTTAACAACATGAAAATTTCAAAAATAAAAAGCAAATTATTCTAGGAATTTTATTTTAAACGCAAAAACATGTTTGTTAGTACTTATAAACACGGCGTTTTATTTCATTTTTTATTATTTATTGCTGAAAACTTCTAAACAATATATTCCATATAAATACAAATTAAATATCAACTTGTTCACACGCTCAATAAATACGGCATTTACTTTCATTCAAATGTTTATCGATTAAAAGTTTCGAAGTAATTTAGGGACAGAAAGATGAGTAAAAACGTTTAACTTTCTTAAAATGCAGCATGTATATTTCTATTACTATATGCTAAAAATTCAAGAATAACTCGATATTATACATTTTTGAATTTCATAAATAGCCTATATAAGTACAGTACTGTCTCTCTCCTTCTCAGCAATATTAATTATAATATATGAACACACCTGAATTTTACTTGCCGAGTTTTTTCTCTTTATTCAAACGTTTTCAGCCTATTTGGATAGGCC